TTCTATCCTCAAAGCCTTTCTAACTCTTGTTGAAAGACAATTTCGTTTGAAGGTTAAGGTGATCAGGTCTGACAATGCATATGAGCTAGGATCGGGGGAAATTCAACAAGATTTTTTCTATTCTCAAGGTATCATTCATCAAAAGTGTTGTGTAGAAACTCCACAACAAAATGGTGTCGTGTAGAGGAAACATAAGCACTTGTTGGAGACTTGTAGGGCTCTTCTTTTTCAATCTAATGCTCCTAAGAAGCTTTGGGGGGAAGGGGTGCTTACTGCTACATATCTTATTAATAGATTTCCTTCATCTGTGCTTAATCAGAAAACACCACATCAAGTTCTATTTGGTCAATTCCAGATTATTCTCACTTAAAACCTTTTAGGTGTTTATGTTTCACTTCTATCCTTACTAGACATAGGAAAAAATTGAGTCCTAGAGCTTTTCCAGAGGTTTTCCTTGGGTATCCTTTTGGACAAAAAAAGATATAATGTTCTTAACCTCCAATCTGGTACAGTACATGTTTCTAGAAATGTCAAGTTTGTTGAAGCTATCTTCCCTTTTTCCCATCACACTCCCATGTATAAACTCTTCCCTGGTAGTTTTTCTCACTGTGATAATTCTGATTTTCCTCCTACTTCCCCTATTTTCTCTGAATCTTCCTCTCCAGTTTATCCTTCTGCTTCCTCTCTTCCTGTTGCAGATTCATCACCTCAATCTCCTACACCTTTCAGTCCATCTACTATGTTTTTCCCTTCTTCAAGCACTAGTCCTTCTACTTCTGATGCACCTATACCTTTTCCACAGGATGAAGTATTGCCACCAGCAGCAGAAGTGTCTCCACGCAGGTCACAAAGACAACATGTGAAACCTAGGTATTTGTCAGATTATATTTGTGCACAAGCTTTCTCTGTGATCTCGCTTAATCCTCCTATTCATCCCTTTTATCAGTCGTTTTTTTCTGCTCCAACTCCTTCTAATCAAACAACTATCAGTTCCATTTGTCAAATTACTGAACCTACTTCTTATCGACAAGCATTGATGAATCCTGGTTGGAAACCTGCAATGAAGTCAGAATTACAAGCCTTGAACTCCAATCACACTTGGGACCTGGTCAAATTGCTTGCAAATAAGAAACCTTTAGCTTGTAAGTAGGTGTATAAAGTCAAATTAAAATTAGATGGGAGTTTAGAACGTCTGAAAACTCGACTTGTAATTCGAGGTGACACTCAACGTGAAGGGATCGATTATACTGAAACATTCTCTCATGTGGTCAAAATGACCACTGTGAGATGTCTCTTGTCTGTTGCTGTTAAAAGAGGCTGGAAGGTTTACCAATTGGATGTGAATAACACTTTTTTGCACGGAGATCTACACGAGGAGGTATATATGCAATACCCTCCTGGTCTTGAGTTGCCTACTTCATTTGTTGTGTGTCGCCTGCGTAAGTCTTTGTACAGGTTGAAGCAAGCTTCTCGTCAATGGTACTCGAAACTTTCTTCAGCTCTTGCCACACATGGTTTTGTTTCCTCTCTCAACGATTATTCACTCTTCTTTAAAGTCTCTGGTCAGCTCATCACCATCATTGTCGTGTATGTTGATAATATCCTGCTTAGTGGTAATGATACATAAAAAAATCAACAGGGTTAAACATTTTCTGAACTCTGAATTTCACATGAAGGATTTGGGTGAGGCGTATTATTTTTTGGGCATGGAATTGGTTAAAGAAAAAGAGGGACTTTTCGTTACCCAACGTAAATTTACTCTTGAGCTTCTGCAAGAGTTCAATTGTCTGGATTGTCGTGTTGAGTCTACTCCTTTGGATCCCAATTTGAAACTTTATGGTATTTCTGGTTCTCCTTTGCTAGATACTTTAGTATATCGGTGACTTCTTGGAAAGTTGAAGTTTTTGACCAACACTCGGCCAGATCTTTCCTATTCCGTGCAGACTTTGAGTCAATATATGTACTCTCCACACACCGGGCATCTTGAAGCTGCATTACATTCCCTTCGTTACTTGGCTAGAGATCCGGGATTAAGTCTTCTCATGAGTTCTTCTACCTCTTTCCAAATTCTTGCTTTTTGCGATGAAGATTGGGCGTCTTGTGCTGACACTCGTCGATCTGTGAGTGGTTTCTTCCTTAGCCTAGAGGGGTTGTCCTGTTTCATGGAAATCTAAAAAACAACTTGTTTTGGCCTTGTCTTCAACTGAGGCAGAATACCGCCCTATACGTCGTCTTGTCGCTGAAATCACTTGGATTGTTCACCTTCTTCATGACCTTAGTGCTCCTCCTTCATTGCCTATTCCTCTTCATTGTGACAACCAGACTGCGATTCATATAGCTAAAAATCCAGTTTTTCACGAACGTACGAAGCACATCGAGCTCGATTGCCACTTCGTCCGTAAGAAGCTCCTTGATGGTTTAATTTCTTTAACTTTTGTTCCTTCTTCTTCTCAGTTAGCCGATCTATTCACCAAAGCTGTTGTTGGACCCTCGCATCGATTCCTTCTTGGCAAGTTAGGAGTCCGTTCACCGGCCTCCCACTTGAAGGAAGGTGTTGGAACTACTGTTATTGATATTCCACTAGAACCTTCCATTGAAGATAAAGAAAATACAGACACCTTGGAGAAACACCAGCCCAGCATACCAAAGCCCAACAGTTTCTCTTATTTGAATAAAGTATCATGAAAGTTGGGCTTGAGCCTTTCCTTTTTAGTTACATATCTGCATATTATATCCATTATAGATAACGATTATATTTTTTGTCTTTTTGTAAAGTTTGTTACAAGTTTGTTAGGTAATAGGAATAAAATTGTATAAATAAAGATACACTGTACAAATTATGATTACTCAGAAATGGAAAGTAAGCTTTCTGCTCAAATTCTCTTCTTCTTCTTTTAAGTTTTTCAAACAATAATTTGAATTAAAGTCTAAAGGACAAGGTAGTAACCAATAAGGTACTGATTTTATATATTTATGTACGAGTAATTGTAAATTACTACAATCTTAATTAGTTATCGATTTACCCAATATCCAATATTAAAAAAAATCAAAACCCAAAGATAACTCGATATTTTTTTAAATTTATAAAACCGTTAAAACCCCATTAACCTAATAACCTAATAATAATAAACCAATAACAATTTATTTGTTTGATTTTTACGCAACCTTAACCTTACGTTTCAGTTTTAATTATTTTCTTTCTTAAATAAGAAAAAAAATATGTTTCTATATTTAATAGTAATTTAATTTTTTAGCTATATAAAATATTTAACATGTTTTCGTTCCTAAGTTTCAAATATCTTTTCTCTACTTTTTTTGTAATAAAGAAAACTATATATCTGCATAAATCAGAACTAATGAAATACGTAATTAATACTCCGCTATAAATGGCAAACGGAAATGGGCGGATGAAGTCTTAACTCGCTAAAGAGTAAAGTTTTAATTAAATTCTCTTACTTCAAAGGTCAATGGCTTAATGAGCAAATGACCCCAACTCAATTTCAACTATTTCTTTGAAAATGTGATAGAATATGAGCATATAATTCAAAATCTTAAAAAGATTATGTGGAGTTATTGATGACATTATAATTCATTTGAAATGCTTATACAGTTTGAAAAACAAGTGTGGTATTCTCTCGACTGTATAATCCAATTTCATAAAAATATTTTATATATATTTTAAATATGTGATTTTTGTATAAATAGATCAAACTAATTAAAATTTGGCTTTAATAATTTGGGCATTCACCTCAAAATCTCAAGAAAATATGGGCGAAGTGACCCTAAGATGATGTAAAACCTTCTAAAAACACTTACACAATTATTGGGAATCAAATGTGATAAAATCGAAGTGTTCTATGACAGCTTATGCTTTTAAATAATATGATGACCATATGGTTCAATACAATATTAGAACAAAAACAAACTTTGAGTTTCACCAATGTCATCCCTATCAATATTATCAAAAAGAACTTTATTGTGTTTGACCAACTCAAAAAAAATCAATCATAAGTAAGAAAAATGTGGTAAATAAACCTAGTTAAATAATTGAAAGTTTGCTTACTCAAATATATTAAGTGCTTGTAAATGATGAGATTTTTACCCAACTGAACAATAAATACAATTTTATAGGTGTTTAATAGAAATTAAGTGATTAAATAGCAGATTCATTGCTACTTATAAATTATAAGTGTTTAGAAGTTTCATTACGTGCTTTAAAAAAGTTGATATATATAGACAATTTTAATGAGAAAATGTTCTGGTTTTCTATTCTTTTAAATAGTGTCATATAAACTAATTAAGAAATATTACAAAAAGTGTCTTTGAAAATTATCTTTTCAAAACTGGTGACATAATTAGTACTTTTGGAGAAAAAACTAGTAGCATGACATAAAGTTAACCAACCGCACTTGATTGATTGTAGACTCATGAAAAAACGTAGTTTAATTTTTCTAATGACTGAGTTACGCAGTTTAATTTTTGTTTTGGGTAATTAATGCCCACGTGATTTACCTAATAACGTCCCTACCATTATATTTTAAAAGAAAAATAGTCCTTTTCGTTTTATTCTTCTTTAGGCATTTGCTTCTTTCCATTAAATTTTCAAGTGAAAGACTAAAATCACATCCGAAGTATTTCAACTATCAGAATGGTGAATTTTCTATTTGTACTATACATATACGATAACTAGACCAAGAGAGAAAGTATATATAAGAGAAAGGATAGATAAAATTTAATCCAATAAATAAAAGGAAGACATTTTAAATTATTTCTAATACGTTAAGAATATTTATACAAAAAATTAAAATATTTTTGATACAACATATCAAACTATCAATAAAAATTAATATCATTATAATTAATCCCAAAAAAACTTTGTCATCCAGCTAACTACCCCCATTATAGAATGTAGAATAGTTTGTGCTAGTAATCATGAAAATGAAAATAAAAATAATTTTCTTTTCTCAAGACAACTAATTTTCTATTTACAAAAAGAAATTAGGAAACGACAGCACTCCAGAAGGTGTAAAGCAATTTTAGGCATATATACCAACCTACATATTCCCCCTCGCGCCTTTGGCCTAATTACAACTCTACCCCGAGAATAATCTATTTTTCTCCTCACTGTTCTCAATATATCTCGTAATTTTATCAATCAACAAGGGCATTTTCAGCACTTCCTCCCTCTTCCACCAGCTCGCCACCTTCTTCCTCCAAATTCTCCATTATCACACACATCAATACGTCGACGTTTTGATATTTGTACGATGCCGGAGATAGAAAGGCATAGAACAAGGCATAACCGACCGGCGATTCGAGAACCGGTGAAACCGAGAGTACCACTGAGACTATTGTTCCGAGTAGCTTCGGTTGCCGGTGGAATTCAATTCGGTTGGGCGTTACAACTATCACTGCTCACACCTTATGTGCAAGAGCTTGGAATACCGCATGCTTGGGCGAGCATAATATGGCTCTGTGGACCGCTTTCAGGTTTACTGGTTCAGCCTTTAGTAGGTCACATGAGTGACAAGTGCACAAGTCGGTTCGGTCGTCGGCGTCCGTTTATTGTCGCCGGAGCTGTATCGATCATGATTGCGGTGTTGATTATCGGTTTCTCCGCTGATATTGGATGGCTTTTAGGTGATCGAGGTGAAATAAAAGTGCGTGCTATAGCGGCGTTTGTCGTAGGGTTTTGGCTTCTCGATGTTGCTAATAATATGACTCAAGGACCTTGCAGAGCTCTGCTTGCTGATCTTACACGTAAGCTTTTCAATTCAATTTTACAGCTTTTTTTTTCTCGATTTGTTTATTGCTTGTGGATTACTCTTCTTTCTGCTTCTTCTTTTTTACGCTGTTCAATAGCTTAAATTGAATTAACCAATCAACTGTAATTTATCATTTGATGCATTTAATTGTTTAGTGCTTTCTAAGGAAGATGAAGCTTCAAACATCTTCGCCTATTTTCTAATAGAATATTTAGCTTTCTTCAGCATAACTCCATAAGAAATGGAAATGCAATAGATGTGTTGTTCTACTTTTTTGACGGTCAAAAACGTATGAGGCGCACTAGTTCAGCTCAAGTAGACAAAATTATCCCTGCACCGATGGTGCGGTGGGACCCTCTCTGTATCCTAAATTCTCTCTCTTCCTTGGTTTCCTTCCTTTAATTAATACTAATGGCTGATGTGCATCTATTGAGTTGAGCCATGACGATCATGGGACTTGGGAGAGAATCTTAGAGCAGGTTTGACATTACTATTAAAAATTGTTTATTTTTAGAATGACTTTTTAAAAATAGTTTTTCATAAAAGTGTTTTTGAAAAAATAATAATTTGTGTTTGGTTAATTTATTTTGAAAAATATTTTTGATAAGTAAATTGTGTTTGAATAATCTTTTACTCATTCTATCCCAATTTATGTGACACTTTTCGTTTTTCAAAAGTCAAACAATTTAAGTTTGACCGGGATTTTGCGCATGAAATTTTCAAATTTCTTAAAATGAAATTTATATATTTGTAAACTACGTAAAAAGTGTTATAAGTCACAATAATTAATAATTCAATGTTTAAAGGATCTATGAATAACTTACGGTCAAAGATAGATTCTTGAAATCCGAAAAGTGCCACATAAAATGGGGCTGAGGGAGTAAAAAAATAGTTTTGAGAATCAAATTACGAAAAATGACAACTATCAATGCACTTTTAATATTAAGATTATTTATAGAGAGAAATTATTTTAATTATCTATTATAAAATTAAAATATACATATTCAAATTTTTAATCAACTTTACACATAGATGAATAAAATAAATAAATATTGATAATAGTAATATGATGATTTAAATATAATTAAAAATATCAAGCAAACTAAATTTAAAATTATTTCACAAATTAAATCTACCACATAAATAAATAAATATGAGGAATAAATTGATAAATATGTATATATGGTTTGGATATTTTGGTCTTGAAAAAAATAATTTTCTGCTTTTCATTCTGTTTTTTTTAAACAATTTTTTTTTAGCTTTTTCCACACAACATGAAAACTTGTTCTGCTTCCATTCAAAAGCACTTTTATTGATTCGCCAAATACCTTTATCTCAAAATAAGTGTTTTTGACCTCCCAACAACAATGTCAAATACTCTTAATTATACGTTAGTCTTCTGCATACCTATATGTTTGTATAACCAAATATTGATTTCGTTCCGATGAATTTTAGTGGTTTGATGTTTGATTTGTGAGATTATTGCATTCTGATGATTTTTAACCAGCTATAGAAGGTTAAATTAAACTACACTATGGAATTGGATGACAAATTATATGGACTAAGCTATATTACCTGCCAAGAGCGGATCTAGAAATTTTGCTGAGCAGGATCAAACAGTTTTGAGAAATTCTCTCTTCCTTGTAACCCTAATGATAAAAAATGGAACATTTATGTATTTTACACTTCTCCCCAGAGTACTTGACATATTTGTTATAGTGATCATTTTGACAAAATTTCATTGTTAAATTGGAATAGAGTACTTCGTGTTGGAAATTTAACGTACACAGAAGCTAAAAAGAATACAAGTTGCAAATTTACCAATTCAAAATGACTAGATAATAACGAAGTTACCTGTTCAAAAAAAAAAATGACTAGATAATAATTTAAAAAGTTTAGTACACTATTTTTCATCCTTGATATGTGAAGTAGGATTGCGAGCTCCAGTCAAACACTGTATTTGAATTAGTGGTTTCTGTTGCCATAACCTATACTTATGGTGCATGACTAAAGATAATTTAAAAATTTGTGTAACAATTTTTCAAGTTCTTAAAACTCATTCTTCATGAATCATTTGTACATGTCAATAAGGTTTTAGATAACTTTTCAGATTTGCACAAAATGGTGCAAAATTTGAAGCCACTCCTTGGAATATTTTGATAAATCATTGCATAGCTTAACAGGGGCAAAAGTCAAGTAAATAAAGGTTAAATTCCACTGTTTAGTTAATCATGCCTGGGAAGGTCACTGCGATTGTCCCCACTCAACATCAATTGATTTTTGCTTCCATCGCTGATACACAATTGCATTGACAAAAAATTAATGTCCATTCCACTGCTGAAAGTGGCAGAAACATTACGGTTGGAAAAGAGCACTGATGTCAATTGGGAATAAATCATTCCTATTAATTTACAATTGGTAGTTCAAACAATTAAAGGTGAAAAGATCATATACCAGTATTACTTATTATAATCACACTATTATTTCTTCTTTGATCAGATTCCTCAAATCACACATAGATCAAGTAGCTCAGTGTATTTATTTGAGTTTCCCCTTTTTGCTTTAGTCCCTATCACTATTGGTTCGAACTAGTTAGCGCAGTGAGAGGAATGGCTCAATGGTGCCTAATGTTTGGCACTAACTATATCATAGTCCTTGACATTATCCACTTAACATGTCTAGCCTGAACATGCCAAGGAGATATGGCTTTTTATTCCATCCTTTGACTTGATTATTAATTCTTGACAGAGTAAGAACAAACTCGTCATGTCTGGTCAATTTCCTATCAAAAGCCAAATGCCTGCTCTATAAAACGGTAGGTCCTGAGCTCACAACATTTGCAATGGTGAGTTGAACAAGTAAGAACCATCTTTTTACTCTGTATCCATCTGTGAACTGTTTCTTTTGATAAGGTATTATCCAAGCAAGTACCCAGGAGGTACTGCAAAAAGGAAAAGAACAGAATTACATAAGTCTTGAAAAGACAACAATCGTTCATCTCAAAGAGTCTATTTAGTTTAGCACAACTGAAAGTTCATCAATTTTACTTCCGTTAAAGCAGATTAAATTCTCTATGCATTTATACTTAACAGCTGCAATCTACTTCCTCTCTCCTTCAAAACACCTTCTGTTTCTTTCCAACCGGATACTCCGCATACTGCACAGAGGGGCTGTCCTCCATATTTTCTCATTTATGCTTCCAGTTTTCTGCACTTTCCATATTAATACAGAACTATTCAAATCTCGTGGCATGGCCCAATGCACTTCAAACACACATAACAAAACTGTCCAAATCTGCCAAGAAAATTTACAGTAATCAACAAATGGTTTGTTGAACCACTTCCCTTTGACACAGAAAATACCTACTACACTGTGAAAATCCTCTTCTCTGTTACATTTCTTAAGTCAGCCAAGCACTTCTAGTTTCCACCCACCCAAAGCAAGCAATTTCAGATGGTACTTTTGTCTTCCAAATCATCCATCTGTGAACTGTTTATATGAGAACAAACAAAAACCAGTTAAAGTCCTGGTATCACATATTTAGAAGCATTTGGGAGTTCTGGAATTTTACTTTTAGTTAAAGTGCTTGAGTGAATAATGGACCGCAGAGTGTTTTAGAGAGGGGAGAGAGATAACAAGGGGTAATGGGAGATTTGTGCTTGTGGTGGTGTTGATTTTGCGCAAACTTCATTCTTGGAGCATGATATATCATCAGCACCTTCTTTTCTCTCTGAGATAAGATTTTGAGCTGATTGCCTAAGAAATGTTCATAATCTAGCTCTTACAGGAGCCTTTACCAGCAGCAGTGACCATATATTACCTCCATAAGAACTGCTAATGAAAAGAAACAAAATCAGAATTAGCTAGTTTTCTTTATCCCCTTGTGAAGGATAGCAGTAGCAAATAAGAAGCACTTGCTTGTTACTGAGAAGATTGTGGAGTCTTATATCTCAAAAAGAAATGATTATGGAGTCTAATGATTAGGTCTACTTTGTCTACATACACTGTGTGCTCCTTGTTCCTTTTTAGTCTTAAGTCTTAATTTAGTTGTTAATAATATTATATACCCTATCTAAGGAGCTAGTAAGACCTAAATTTGCATAATATCCTCACTTTGTTGAAGCTAACTTACGTATCCAAAATTCAAAAGAAAATCTCATTTTGTCGATTTTGACCTCTAGTTTCAACCATTTAGGAGAAAGTAATACTGAAGCATAAGACAGTAATCTCATTTTATGGATTTTGACCCCTAGTTTCAACTATTTTGGAGAAAATAACACTTAAGCATAAGAAAAGACATAATGGTGAAAATGGAGGCTACGGTCTGTCAATGCTCATGGGGTTTGAAGTAGAGGACCTCCATGGGATGATGAATGGAGGGATGGTGCTATTCCAGAGATGATACAGCCACCAAAAGAAAAGGCTTGGTAGAGCTTAATTTTTCAGGGCGAGATATATCAATTTTACATTTTTGTACGACTTCATTGTCATTTATTTGTGCATATTTATATCATGAAGTTGCCTTCAAACTAGTGACACTTCCTCTGCTTTCTAATATGCAGAAAAGGATCATAGAAGAACTCGGGTAGCAAATGCATATTTTTCCTTATTTATGGCCATTGGTAACATCCTTGGCTTTGCTACTGGATCTTACAGTGGCTGGTTCAAGATCTTCCCTTTTACTCTCAATACTGCATGCACCATCAACTGTGCCAATCTAAAGGCTGCTTTTATTATCGACATTATTTTTATTGCAACAACTACATGCATTAGCATATCAGCGGCCAATGAGCAGCCTCTAGATCCCAGTCGTGATTCCTCTCATACCAGAGAAGAGATTGGTGAATCAAGCCATGGTCAAGAAGAAGCTTTTCTCTGGGAGTTGTTTGGAATTTTCAAGTATTTCCCAGGTGTTGTTTGGGTGATCCTGCTTGTCACTGCCCTGACTTGGATTGGATGGTTTCCGTTTCTTTTGTTCGATACTGACTGGTTTGGTCGAGAAATTTATGGCGGTGAACCAAATGATGGAAAGAATTATAGTGCAGGAGTGCGAATGGGTTCATTGGGTCTAACGTTGAATTCTGTGCTTCTTGGACTAACTTCATTGTTCATGGAGAAGCTCTGTCGAAAATGGGGAGCTGGTTTCACATGGGGAGTTTCAAACGTGGTCATGTCTCTCTGTTTTATAGCCATGCTTATAATTACTGCCGCTAGGAGTAACATAGACATTGGCCAGGGTCTTCCACCGGATGGCATTGTGATTGCTGCGCTGGTTGTATTTTCTATTCTTGGGATCCCACTAGCTGTAAGTTGCTTTATTTTGAAGTCACAACCAGAAGTTATTTTGCACTATTACACAGGCTTATGTGTAGAACTAGTTAAATTAAAACACCTCTAAACCACTTATATTCTTAATCTTCGAATTTTTTTAACAACAGGGGTATATGTTACAGAGTTTGTTATTGTTGAAATGTAATATAGAAATTTGGTCTGTATGAAATAATCTTTTTATGTAAGATGCCTGGCAAATGTAGCACGATACAGAAAGAAATTTGAGGTTACTGTTTCAAAAGGATTCAGTTTAAGCACAAGTTCCATGGGGGCTTAGAAGAGAGCTTTATTTATGTATATTACTGTATAATGCAAGTCATTTTCTGCAGATAACATACAGTGTTCCATACGCTTTAGTATCCTCAAGGATTGATGCTCTTGGGCTTGGACAAGGTAGATTGAGTTTTGTCTATTTTGATCAATATTCTGTAGGTCAAATAGAAAATAGAGCATCAATTACAACTTCAACCTTGCAGGCTTGTCAATGGGTGTGCTGAACCTGGCAATTGTGTTCCCACAGGTATAAATTTTGCTCTGTTTCTATGGGTTTTCTCCAAAACAAGAACAGTCTGTAGAAAGTGGTCCAAAAAAAATAAAATCAAAGCCTTTATGTAGATGGATGTGCCACAGGTGCATTGTGTTGCCTCTTGCTAGTTTGCTCTTGTAGCTGTTATCTGTTGAGCCCTTGGTTAGAGTTAAAGGTTAGGTGTGTCTCAGGGATTTTGGGCATAGGCCGGGGGTACTTATGCATTTTCCCAAAAAAATGAGGCAAGGAGTGAACCGTTGTAAATGATGGAATCTAGAGTATCTTTCAAGCGAATACAGAACATTATTATTCTTATGGGTGTTTCCACTAGGAATTTTTGCTGCACCTTTATAGCATGTATCTTATTATTTCCTGAAGTTATATAGGCCACTGAATGAAAAGATATTGTCATTGGTTGCAGATTGTGGTTTCTCTGGGAAGTGGGCCATGGGATGAGCTATTTGGTGGAGGCAATTCACCAGCCTTTGTTGTGGCTGCGCTTTCAGCATTTGCTGGTGGACTTATAGCCATCTTGGCGATTCCTCGAACACGGGTTGAGAAACCCAAGATCTTTGCATGAGGTAAGCTGCTAATGTCTCTGTTTGAACTCCTTTCTATTCTACTTGTCCACCATATTTAAATTATCTATCTCTAGTTTTCTGAAGAGCAGGCTGTTGAGCCAACTTTTCCCATTTAAGGACCTTTAATAGGGCTCGAACTCATAGTCGCTTGACCCATTTCGTTTCCCAAAAAAAATAGATAGAATAGTTATGTAAAAAGTGATGCCTTCATTCAGTGGTGGAACCAGGATTTTCGCTAAGAGTATTCAAAATATAAAAAGTGAACACACGAAGAAGCTAAGGGGATTCAATATTTACTATATTATATATATAAAATTATTTGACCTTGTATATACTGTATATTTATTGGCGCTAGCCTAACTCCACCCCTGCCATCAGTCTTGTGTATCATCTCTACATTCATTGTCTCGAACTCAGACGTCTTCTTTTATTCCAATGTTTTAGTAACATATCTCTGGAAGCATAGCAAATGAACAGAGTGGAGGCAATTCACTCCTACTTTGTCCTTATGGGCACTTAGCATCGTGTTCTAAGAATCTGTTAGTATATCAGTAATCCTAGTAATTATACTTTAGATTAGTAGAAGTTACTGAAAAAATGAGGAAGCCTTTATCCCTCTTATTATTTACGTTCTCCTATTTGAATACATCTGCAAAACTATTTAATCTCCAGAGCTTGAGGACATGCAACAAAAGAAATATTGAAAAACACGTTCAAGAGAACATTTTGCTTTAACAGACACATAAACTGCATAACTGGTGTCAATAATTTCTTCCTAATTGTGAAATAGAACAAATAATTTCTCATTAACTTGATTAAGTAACAACAATGTATATATTAGAGGTCGTCCTTTATATAGTAGTTCTAGACTATGTACAATATGGAAAGTATTCAAACCTCTATACTACTAACATAATTAAATCTATAAGATTTTTCTTATTTAAATACACATTTTCTTTATATTCCAACACTAATCTAACACATAACTACAACAGTTTAGGAATATCCATAGATTCTTAACAAGATATTGACTGATTAAAATATTTGTAGATAACACACCCCTAAGTTAAGATGTACAAATTGTCTACTCTTTTTACAAAAATAATCAATCTTCTCCTAGCGACAACAAAAACAATTTCTTCATATCTGTTCATGTCTCAGTGGACAGATAATTTATCTGGTACTTGTGCTAGTGGGAGGTAGCAGATATCTCGTAGAATTAATTAAGGTTCGCGAAAACTGGCTCAAACACCATGGTTATAAAAAAAAATTGATATTGAATCCTCAAATATATTTTGTTAGAATATCAACTAACTAGTCACTTAAATTAAGCAAAACTAGTCAAAACACATATTTTTATTGATAATCGAGACAATTCCTGAAGGCTAATGATGCACGGTTCGAAACTCGGTGGATAGTGGGTTGCCCCTCTACCCTAGTCGCAATACATTCTGATTCCATCTTTTATCTTATAAAAGGACAATTTTTTTAGTATGTTCATTCTTGGTTACATGAATTTTTAAGCTACATGCAGCACCACTTGATTTTCAAATAAGTTGCAATTTTTAATTTCTTCAACATATGAACTCTAATAGAACTAGCTTTAACCATATAAGCCCACATATGACTAAATGCATGGTTTGTTACTGTCTTCTGCATTTAATCTGGCCACCACATCTTATTGTTCTAGTGTTTCAAAATATTATATTACCAGTTAAAAATAAAAGGCAATGCTTTGAGGCAGATGCTCTGGTGGAAGGAGATCATATCCAGTTTCAATCAAAATTCAAAATAACCCATAATCTGTGTGGGATGCAACTGAGATGTCTGATCATATCATTGTTAGATAATTGAGCATATCATTAAACGTTGATATTGACCTTGAACCTTTTAGAGTCTCCTGTTTAAAACCAGCCTTAACATTTAGGTGCAAATTGACTATCAAAATATACATCATATTTATTAGTGATGATTTCTAATATCTTTTAATGTCTAGTAATACTCTCTAGAAGCTATATCTATTCAACTATTACTACTACCTCAATCCTAAAATAGTTAAGGTCAATGTATCAATCCGCCTTCTCAGTTCTAGTTGGGCTCCTTCCATTTGACTAATTTGTTTTTTCAGGACAACTTAGGAGTTCTCCAAAACTTAGGTTTCTCTAAATGTTACACTTAGCCTACCAAATTTATCAAATAGTTAAGGTTAATGTATCAATCCTCCTCCTCAGTTCTATTTGGGCCCCTTCCATTTGACTAAATAATTTATTTTTCAGGACAAATTTGGAGTTCTCCAAAACTTAAGTTTCTCTAAATGTTACACCTAGCCTACACAGTCATATAACCTCTAACCAAATTTATCAAACACTGGACGAAATGTAAGTGTCCATATGACTTAACCTTAATAAGTGTAACTAGTTGGTATCACTTACACAAGTGCTTTGCTTCCATTAGGGTAGAAGGTAGTAGGTAGTAGAGCATTGACTAGTTGCCCTTACCAATATTGTTATTATTACTCCCATATTATCTTATTCTTCAATTCAATTATCACAGGTTGTTTCCTTTGTTTCAGTCATCGTATTTTTTGTTGTTGCTACTGTTCTCTTCTCCATTATGCTAGCATGACTGCTTTACTACTGTATTTCCTTACGATACTTGATTTTATTATGTGTTGCTCGAGCCGAAGTTCTATTGTAAACCACCTCTCTACTTTCACAAGGTAGGGATAAGGCTGCAAACATACCACCCTCCCCATACCCATTTGTGGGATACTGGGATTATGCTGGCATGTTGTTGTGATTGTTGGTAGATGTAGATGTCACGAATTGTTTCAGGAATCAAGCTTTGGATTATGGTCAAAACATATTATTCCTGTTATTGTTTATTTTTCCTAGATGCATTCAAGTTTAAAACACCATTGAAAACTAAAGAGTGCACTATAATTATTTAATCTCATGTTTAGAATCCTTTTCCAACCAAGTCATTGAAGAAATGCATTGAGCATTTTTGCATAAAAATGATATTTTTTCCTCATTTACATGCAATGCACATGCTTACAAAGTTGCGACCTTTAAGAGGCTTTTAATCATTGAAAAGAATTTATAAAGTTAGAGAGTATTGATTAAGCTCTTTCTAAAATCTGCTATTTCTAGCCATGTTATTGAAGAAATACCTTGGAGTGTTTTTGCATAAAAATGACAATTTTTTCCCCATATGCATTCTTACAAATTTGTGATTGTAAAAGACTTATCATCTGCTTATTGACACTTGTGGTCACTCTATAGGGATTTCCTGAGTCTATTTTTCCTATTGGACTATTGTCTACTTTTTCTTGAGCTGCTGGGTCATAATATTTTTGTTCTCTGGGGGTAGGCTATTTTGTCATATTGGAAGATGAGATTGATGGTGGTGGTAATTGTCCACATTGTCCCTGGCAGCCACTTGATATTTCTGTTGTGGCCGTTTTGAGTATTGCTCAATCTGAATGCTGAAGAATTCGCGGAGGTATACTGTTGTATTCTATTTTTTTTGAATTTTATGATCAACCCGCAATTTGCATTACCTTTTTGTAAATATAGCTCTTCCACTCACTTGGTACTGATTCTAGCATTCAAGATTGCTTTTCATGTTCATCATTTATTTACTTAGTTACTCAAATTTAGCCACTGAACAATTTTCTGTTTGGTGTTTCTCCACTTTCTAGATAAAGCAAATCTCAAATATCAGTACAAACTGTACAAGAAGTGTTCAGTATATAAAGCACATATTCTTTGTGCATTTAATCTATCTCCGAGTATAGTTTTACTCTGTAAATAGTACTCTTTTTCAGCTGCAAAGGCATTTATCACATCCATATCACAGAAGGCTTTATATAGTACTCTGTAATTGTGCTCTGTTAGACAAGGCTATAGTAAAAGTCATCTCATCATTGCTGCCAGCCATTTATAGATTATTAGCTTTGACATGCAACAAAAACTATAATCAACCTAGTATAGTAATAATGAATATACTCTGGAGTTATAATCTCGAGCATACATAGTGGCACCCTAAACTTGTGATTCCATGGACTGATTTTTTTTCTGCCCAAACCATCACCCACAGGGAGTTAGAACCAATTTGTGATATATAAAATAACCTGGCTTTTAGATGCCCGTTATCTATGAAGATGGAGGATACATACATGAAAACCAATCTGGAACATTATCAGGGCCATCTTTTTCTGTAGCTCAAAACCACATCTCTTGCACCAACTATATTTCCATGTACGTCAAAAGTGGTGTAGTTGAACTCAAAATCATTAACTCATAAGATCACGGAGAAAACTATTTCTCAGCACCCAGTCTTATGCTCAAGATTGTCAGGATGTACAGAATGTTCCCTGCACGAGCAATGACCGAATAGGCAATTTGATAGCATACATATAAAACCCTCGAGTCCAACTTATGTGCAATTAGATCCTTACTGAAACCTTTACATTTGAGCTGCCGATAGCATGTAGTGCAAAAAGATAATTCACTAAACTGTGATGAGAACAAGTTTCGTGTCAGATGTTCCATCTTATTCTGCTGTAAACACAGCACGCCATAAGTTTGCGTCTCTTTAATGTCTGATATGCTATTTGGGATCAAAGTTGTGCTTTTGTCAACCATTCATGGTCATGGAGTCTGTGCCCATAGCTAATAATGCTGAAAAGAAGTGAAGTTGCAGCTAGGGATCCTTATTAGTCATCAGGCTTTATTCTTTTACCAAAAATATCATGTTTTTCACAAGCTTACTTGCTTTGGTGATATATCAAGGTGCCCTGGAATCTCATGCAGTTTGCACATGACTTTGGTGAATTCATTTTATAAAATTTTGGTTGGAGGCTAACAGTTCCGGCAGACTGAGCCCTTGATTAAGACATAATTAATCTTTCACTATGAAATTTGTGTGTATTGGAAGCTTGTCTGAAAAGAAAAGGTTCCCTTTTCTAATATTCTCTCTTTTCTGGTAGCTTTCTTGTGTGCTTGGGAATAAATTCCTACTGTTATTGCATATCAGAATCTATAAAAGTTCTTCCTTCCATGTAATGCTTACATTTAATAAAGGTGATTGGTACTATTCATTCAAACAACATTGGAATTTTAGTTGTACAATGGCAAAATGCAATGCATTAGTAGACCTGAAGATATCTAGAATAACATCATTGTCTGCTTAATGTGAAAGATTATGAAGTTTAATCGCACATTCATTGATATTTCCTTTTCGCATCGAAAGACCTGTAGATTGTGGTTACAATGTGTGACTTTGGGGGTGAGATAAAGACTAGAACCAGAAGATACTGGAAATGAAAAAAAATTAGTTACCTTTCTTTTTCTGTTTTTTTTTTGGAGAAAAAGTGGAGAATTAGAATGAGTGAATTTGTTCTGTACAGAGCTATCATCCTTGAGAAAATGTTGAAACATATTTAAGGTGTGACATCTCTGGTGGAAGAGGACATGACAATCGCTAAAAAAAATTCTTTTGCTGTGTACTGAACTTGGCATATATTACATGCTTAAAAGTTAATTTGGTGGAAAAATGTTGTAGAAGGAGAATAAAAACTTGGTGCAGATGAATTGGAAAAGCCGTACTTGTGAATCAGATCCAATTTTAGATGCTAACACTCTGTCAATTTTGGTTCATTACGATCTGATGGCATCAGCTCCATATGCATATTGCTGTAATTGTGGATCCCCACCCCCCATCTGGGATATTGAGCAAAAAATCACTACCATATTACTATTTTATTTTTAAGTAGAAGAGCGGTGGAAATACATTTTTTAAACACAAGTAATGTTATTTTAGTAGTGTACTTGCATTTTTTTTTGGGTTGTTGTTCAAGTACTGAAGAGTGAAAGAATATTTTCTTTGAATTGACAAGCATTATTCAATTGTCCCAAGTTATGTTACGTTTCATTTGTTTCACGTAGCCATGTTGGTGGATAAGATCGTATACTTTATTCAATTTATATACACTGATAATGTAACAAATCCTTTAGCCCCTTGTATCTGTCTTTGTGACCAGTAATGAAAGCAAGCTTACGAGTTTAAGTTTCACTGTTACACTGTCAATATGGTCCGCCACTAATTTTAATAAGGGGGTTCAAAATCTGAGAAGTAAACACACGAACTAGTGGAAAGGGGTTCGACATCTATTATACATACCTAAAAAATAATTTTAACCATGTATAAATAATAATATTTTTTGTCCGAACCCCTCATTATATGCTGCCTCCGCCTCTGGGTCTGACACATAGATAAGTTTTTTTTATTTTTTGGAGGAAATAAAAGGATTTTGTGATTGAAATATTAGTGGGGGAGGAAGAAAGGTGCAGGTAACTCTGGGTGCTGGTTAAAGTTGTTCTGTTTCTGTTTCTGTTTGTGTTGCTTTGCAGAAATACGGAGAGACGCACAAGCAAGGCATTAAGGCCCCCCACTTGGAGACACATTGATCCCTGTTGTGAAAATTGGATACAATAAAATTTTAAATGGCTGTAAATGCAGCACGTACTTTTTTGTATTTTTATTTTACAAGATTTTGTTTCAGTGTCCCCTTTTCTTCCATCTGCCTCTTCTTCATATGGCCATCTACTGCATACTGCTCTCTTCTGTCACACACCAATTAACCCTTAGTGGTCCCTTTTTTTTTTTCCCTTTCGAATTTTTTGCAATTTTGCATGATGCTGCTTTCTTATATACGACCACCTTCCCACTCATCCAACAATTCCACATTTTTTTCCCCCTGTTTATACTTCCCACAAACTGTGAGTATTCAGGATAACTTATTTAACTCCCAAGATCAAATATTATGTAAGAGAAAAGATCCCTTCGATTTGACACTTTTGGCCACTTTAAAAATAAAATAAAGTAAAAATTAACCCCACCACTTTGTTGCTTCTTCTGTTCCTATCCGAATTCCCTAAAGAGAGGTTGTTCGGATGCTAAGTACTTTCTGACTCCTATCCCGAGGTAAGCAACTAGGGAGGAGTAAAAGAAAAGAAAGAAGTTTGTTGACACGTACATTCTCATTCGCAAGATTATATATATCTTTCAAAATGCTGGCAAATTTAACCATTTCCTTAGGTTTAAACATGTACAATCTCATCTTGGATTGAGACAATTCGATTGATCTCATCCACTTGATAATTTCTATAGAAGTTGTATCCTTTGAAGAAGAAAATATGTTTGTTGTTGGCTGTGCAACCATTCACATTACCAAAATTGAATGAAATAAAATAGAAATGAATAAGTTCCCGTTTTAGTACTTATAAAAAGAAAAAATACCCATACCAAATGGCCCACACCGACCATAACATTAGTGATTAGATATCTATATTAAAATTAAAAATCATATGATAAATGTCGTATAAGGAATCGTTCAGTTTTTTTTTTTTTTTTCTCTTCCCACTACTTGAAGAGAAGGAAAATTCCGGCCACAACTTTTCCAGCTGCTTCTTCAAAAACAACACAGCGTGTTGTCTTCACAAACGCATTATTATTATTTTTACAGTGGTGTTTGATATTATATTATAATGCGATAGTGTGTTGTTTTTGATATTATATTATAATGTGATAGTGTGTTGTTTTTGATATTATAAATAATAAAGTGGAAAAAATAGTACATAAATTATATGTAAAGGCCAAAAAAAAGATGGGACCTTGAAAACAGAATTTTAGAAAAAACAGATGTGCACTCACAAAAAAGTTGCAAGTAGCCAAAGACTTAAACGGTGTTTGAGGGGTTACAGACAACATAAGTCATGCTCGATACTCTGGTGCATCACATGGGCTGCGAGGGGAATGTAACATGCATGCAATTCTTTTGCCTTACAACATGCCAACATTTCCTTAGCCACACTTCCCGATAGATCCATGATTTTAAGTTTATGAGTTCTTATAACGACGTCACAATCAGATATTTTTGGTGAATTTCATAGTACAAATACTATGAGTTCATGTGATCTAGACCCCCATGCCTCAAAGAAAAAAGGACATTTGGTATCTAAAATTCAAAACTCATTGATTCGTTTTAAAAGGGAAAGCACTCGTTACTAAGAGTATCTGATCGATTTTGTATGAACATTTGTAGGCAACAAGAATAAGAAACTTATATGTGTTTTGTCATATCAAAACTACTAGCTAAAACTTTGAACAAATATTGATATTACTTGTCAATCCATTCCTTCACTTGGAAAATAACATAGATAATCTTTTTATTCCCTTTGTTTCTCCTTTTCCCCCCTCTTTTGATGGGTGAGGATGAAAAGAGTTTTTTTTTTTTTGTGTGTGTGTGGGGGTGGGGGGAATTAAAGGGGTGCGATTGGATAGGCGGTTAATTAAGTGTAGAATTGATTGAAACCTAACAAGAGGGATGTAATAAAAACTTATCCAAGACTTGATAAATTATAATAATGTGTTGATCATTTAACTATAGGGTATAATCCTCCAACATTAATATATAAATTGCCAATAGGGCATTGACACTTGAACAAAACTCATAAAACCATGCAGGTTTCTTCAAGTGCAGCCGTTTGGACGGTGAAACACTAATATGCCCATTAACAAATTATTCTATAATGCATCTTTTATTCATGGACCAACATCACCCTCTTTCTTAGGAATACTTAATTATTACTATTTACTTTCTACTATAGCTTATATTACTACTAAGACAAGATGGAAAAAGCTCCAATTCATAGCCTTTTGAAATGGACAAGGCCCTACCTTTTCATTACGCCACACGTCCATTCCATCTCATTTAAGTAAGAAAAAGAATCAAAGATAGAATTTTATTTTTATTGTAAGAAAAGAAAGCAGAATGACAAGATAGATAGGCCCAGCCCCCACTAAGCGTCAAAATCAGAATTTAAAGTTTATGATCATAGTTACTAAATTCACAATCAAATATTTGTACTATTTTATTGATTTTCTAATACGAATATATTATCTAAGGAAAAAAAATATTAAATTCATTTAAATTTGTACTTAATATTATAGCTCCGCCTCGGCCCCCACCCCACCCAATCTCCCTTCTCACCAAGAGCCGCATTTTATTGGCAAAATTGAGCATTCTAGCTCATATAATGACACGTCTATTGTAGGGTCAAATTCTTGCATGTATATATATACTACACATCTTGGTTGCACCCTTACTTGCATTCAAAGCTCTAAAACAACAAAAACATATATACCTCATTAAAAAGGTTTCTCTCTCTAATATATTTATTTATTTATTTCTCTTTTCCCTTTTTTCTCCTTGTGTTGCCCACAAAACCATAATATTTATTATCTCTACTAGTCTACTATTGCATCTTCAAGCCTACCAATCTCTTCACACAAAGCAAGAAAGAAACTAGGATAGAAATATAGATAGAGAAAACTATGTGCAACCCAAAGCCTTCTTCTCCATCCTCCTTTGTCTCCAATGAAAAAGTCCATTTTGCGAACTCAAACAAACCAATTGATGTTCAAGTTGATGATGAAGAAGAACAACTTCATAAATGGCCAACCCCATCTGAGGTAAATATATACATATAAAAAAAATAAACAATAAATAACTTTTCCCCCTATACCCCAACTGAGTTACATTAGCTCAAGGGTTCAGTTCGCTGAAAAATTACACTATATATATATATAAGTTCAAGAACACAACTTTTCTATATAAATTTCTTTAACCCCTACAACTCTAAGGAACCTTTTTGTTTAGTGGTAAAGCAAGTTCAAGAATTTTTTTTTAAATTGCAAGTTCAAGTACTTCTTAACTCACAATATACTAGTATTTTTTGAGTTCTTTTGCTAAAAATCTTTCCTTCCACCTCAACCAACCACCATACATATATATATAGAAATATGTATATATATGCATGTAAAGTTTCTTTCTTTTTTACTTTACCATTCTCAAAAAAAAAAAAAAAAGTTTCTTTTTTTTTTTATGTTACAGTCTCACATTGGTTAGGAAATGGATCGATAGTCTGCGTGTCATATCTTTACACTTCCCTATAACACTAAAACTTACTTTTTGTTTAAAAATTTCAGGCTTTTGAAGAAATGAAAGAAATAGGTAAGATTGCTGGACCAACAGCAATAACAGGGCTGGTACTTTATTCAAGATCCATGATCTCCATGCTATTTCTTGGATATTTAGGTGAACTTGAGCTAGCAGGAGGGTCTCTTTCTATTGGTTTTGCTAATATAACTGGTTACTCTGTCATCTCTGGTTTAGCAATGGGAATGGAACCAATTTGTGGACAAGCTTATGGTGCTAAACAAATGAAACTTCTTGGAATCACCCTTCAAAGAACAGTACTTCTTTTACTTTCAACTTCAATCCCTATCTCTTTCATGTGGCTAAACATGAAAAGAATACTTTTATGGTGTGGTCAAGATGAAGATATTTCAAATATGGCCCATACTTTCATTGTCTTTGCAATTCCTGACCTTTTTTTCCTATCTTTACTTCATCCTCTTAGGATTTATCTTAGGACACAAAATATTACATTGCCTTTAACTTATTGTTCTGCTATTTCTGTACTACTACATGTCCCACTCAACTTCCTCCTCGTGCGATATTGTGATTTGGGTATCGCTGGTGTTGCTCTAGCTATGGTCTTAACTAATTTGAACTTTTTTCTCTTGCTCTGCTCCTTTGTTTACTTTTCCGGTGTATATAAGGATTCTTGGGTTGCCCCGAGCATGGATTGTGTTCGGGGCTGGTCCTCATTGCTGGCGTTGGCGATTCCAACGTGTGTTTCTGTTTGTCTAGAGTGGTGGTGGTATGAGTTTATGATATTGTTATGTGGACTATTGGCTAATCCTAAAGCAACAATTGCTTCTATGGGGATATTAATCCAAACTACTTCTTTAGTCTACGTCTTCCCATCTTCCCTAAGCCTTGGTGTTTCAACTCGAGTTGGGAATGAGCTTGGTGCTAACCGGCCTGGTAGGGCCCGGATATCGATGATTGTTTCCCTTTTTTGTGCAATGGCATTGGGATTAGGGGCAATGTTGTTTACAACTTTGATGAGGCATAAATGGGGTGGATTTTTTACTAAGGATGTTGAGATACTTAAGTTGACTTCAATTGCATTGCCAATTGTAGGGCTTTGTGAATTGGGAAATTGTCCACAAACAACAGGTTGTGGTGTGTTGAGAGGAAGTGCAAGGCCTACAATTGGTGCAAATATTAATTTGGGCTCATTTTATTTTGTTGGAATGCCAGTAGCTATACTTGTTGGATTTCTATTGAAAAAGGGGTTTGGTGGATTATGGATTGGGTTACTTGCAGCACAGGCCTCATGTGCAATACTAATGCTTTATGTATTGTGCAAAACTGATTGGAAAGTTCAAGTTGAAAGGTCAAAACAGTTAACACAATCAACTTCTACTTCTTTGCCAGTGACAATGCCTAATTTGGACAAGAAAAAGAAGAAAAAAAAGAGTAATAATAATAATAGTAATAATCTTGAAGAGATTTTGTGCAATAAAGAGGAAGATGATTTGATGAAATCAGCAGCTGCTTCACTTGATACAGACCCTCTCATACCTTCCACTACTTAATTAATTCAGAGATTATTGTGCATTGATTGGATTAACTCTCTTCATTTTCATTTTTATTTTTTTTTGGGTCCCTCTAATACCCTTTGATGGGTTGATGTGAAAAATTGTTCATTGGGATTTTATAGACTAATCATGTATTAACATTTGATGATCATGAGGATATATATAAAACTACTAGCTAGCTTTGTTGTATGTTTTTTCTTTTAATTTCCATCATGCCCCATGTAATAGTAATAATATGGAATATAACATGATGTATGATCTTATAGTTTATTTCTTATTGGTTGTTACTTCCTACTTTAATTCTCATAAAAACTAATCCTACTCAAGAATCCCTTAAAGTTTGTGCATATAATATTTTAGTTTCAACCTTGAAAAGAACTCTAACTATTACTATACGAATTTAAGTTAGTAAAGGTTTTTTTTTCTCTTTGGAAACTTTGGAAAATTCGTGATCGCTATTCTTTGGGTTTGCACTAGATAAATCTACTTGTGCAATACCTTATAAACCACATAGAAAATGTAAACCACACTAAGCAAGTATGGTGTGACGAATTCGACTGATATATCATAGGCAGATAAAATCAAACCCTAGCCTTTCTTATAAGATATCACCTATTACACCGACTCAACCATCCGTAATAGTAACATGTTAGTTTTCATTTTTTACCCTATTATCAAATGATACTTATGAGTTACGAATGAATTTACATAATATACATTGTTAATGTCATCGAGTTATCTTTACCCTATTATAACAAATAACATATCTTATTTTTAAGATTTCAAATCTCACATTAAAAAAATGAATACATGTATATATCATTTATACGACCTGAACATGATTATATAAATATTTTTTACACCGTCAATATTCCACTACTCTTACTAGCACTATTATATTTGTATTGAAAGAGGGGAAAAGTGTTGTCGGTTGTTTGAAGAAGTGGGAACAAGGGAAATATATGTACAATACACCTAGCTAACAAGCTTTCTAATTGTTCCCTTATACCATATAAGGCCACACATTCATCACTACCTAATATGGAAAAGTTTTAAGCATATCTCCATACACTATATATTTATTAATTAGTACTACAATACATTACTTAAACATCAAACTTCAACTCAACGCTAACAAGATACTATTATTTACACACTTTCTTTTTCTTTACATATCTAATATTTTATTTTTTTCATTAATTTGAGGATGGAGGGTTTCTTCATTTTCTTATAATTAAATTGCTTTACAACACATCCTTACTTCAAAAGTCACCTTTCTTATATGTTTATTTATATTCTCTACTTTTTTTTTTCTTTTTGATTTAATGTTAGCTAGAACACAACCAGTACTACTTTCCAAAATTGGTATTATGAGATTATTTTTATTGGCTTTCTGATACCATCTCAATATCCTTTTTTGACTTTTCTGCCTAGCTTGCGTTTTGAAATGGATCGAATCTTTTGCAAGCTTTTGTGATTATTCTAAAGCTTTTTCGAAAAGTATACAACAATAATAGTATTTTGAGTACTACTTCTAGTAAACAATTTTAAACGATCTTGATCAAGTAATTAATTAATTAATTAATTAACCATCTAGCTTAGTACTTAGTTATAATTAGAATAATAAACCCCATGTCACAAAGATTATTTTTTACACGAGGCACAACAAAATTGAGTAATATGAGGAGAGAAAGAGAGTGGTGCGTGTATGTATATATCCAAACAATATTTTTGTTTGTTTGTTCGTTTTTTGGTGTTCGATAGCTATATTGAGCTCACTTAATTTGTATTCTTGTTATGTAAGGTTCATTTAAAGGAAAAACGCTCTCTAACAAGTTTCTTTTCATAAATAACCAAGACGGAAATCTGAAACTTCTGATTAAGGATCTTATCCATCATATCACGATGTTCGATTATATCCAAACAAGTTAAGCATAAAGGAGTGATAATATTGTGGCAGTAGAGTGAGTGAGTGAGGGGGGGCCCTGTTTGTAACTGAAGAAACAAAACCCAGCTATTATTGCTTGTGTCTACTTGTGAGATGACAAAATTTTGTGCAGTGCCTCTGCATAGCAGTTTCCAGCCTCTTCTTCCCCCACCATCTCAGTGTCCATTAATTTGTTTGTTTCTTTGCAGATGCACCACCACTACCTCCACCAACAAACCACACTAAAAATGGATATTTACTTCAAGGAGAAATTAGCTACCTATAGGAGCCTTAATTATATTACTATAACTTATTTTACACAATCCTATCATGGTCATGTATATGCCATGATTTAGACAAGGTTTTGTGGATCCAACCAAACTCATTATTGATGTATGACTACAGAGTCACGATTTTCACTAAAATATAAGAAATATGAAAAAATCAAAGATATAGTAATATGGTTTGTTTGATGCTATAGAAGAATTGAGTCCTTTGTAAATTTGAATAAGAAATTGATAGTATTTATAATCGACAAACAACTACAAAGAATCAAATCCTTTAACATGTCTAGAGATGATTGTTTTGTGAATTATAACCAATTTACTATTGTAATAGGTGATTGAGTGTTGAAGCTTTGCTTTCTACTTCCTAAGACTAGATATATAATTACTCAAATTTAACATATTACAATTTGCATTCACAATATTTTTGCAAAAGATGAAATATAAAGCTTATAATATATAGTGGTGTTTGGAGGAATATAGCTATCATAGGACTATTCCTTATCCCCTTTGTATAAATGTGGAAAATAATTATGAAAATATCAAAGAGTTATTAGTCCCAAAAAATTATAAAGTATGTAGTGGGAAAATTTGCTGGCATTTGTGGTACAGAGGAAGGACTTTAATTTGCATCATATAATATATCACAACTCACACGCCTAAAATAGGTCAATTTTCGAGCGCAGTACCATTCTTGTCCTCTTTGCATCATCTCTTATCTCTTATTTCGAAAAAATGCATCACACTTCTCTTCTCTTTCTTTCTTATTATTTTTCAAATCGATTTTAATTTAAGGTATGTTTGGTAGGAAAAATATAATCTCAAAAAAAAAAATGCGAATTTTTTATTTATTTCTTAGCATTTGATAAGTACATGGATAGAAAACATTATGTTTAATCGATACTATGGTGGGGTGTTTGGAGCGTAGGGCGAAGATATTAATGTGCAATGTGTTTGTCCAAATAGTAAAAGGACATTTTAAACTCGAAAATTAATGTTAGGAGCAATTTAGGTCTTATTTCTCATTATATCAAGATAATCAATAATACTTTCTCACTTATCTTACAATATGGCTAAAACTCTCAACCTACCTGTTGATAATGAAGGCGCTCAACTAAGTAAGCTACACTTGCTACAACTAAGGTCCAATAGGTGTAAGGAGAACAAATTTAAATTTATTCAATATTTAAGGGTCATTTCTTTTTTTATCCTTTTCTACATTTATTAATTTGATGATTTTACACTTAGAGCTAGAAGGAAAAAAACCCTTTTTTTGTTTTCTACCTAGTGTTTGATATTCACATTGAGATTCAACTAATCCCAATTCGTATAGGATAGAGCCCCATTCAAAAATAGCGCTCCATAATATTTTTAAATTCTTTTAAAAAAAGGATATATATATAGTAGAGTAGAAACGGTAATGTCAGACCGTACGTGACAACTATTGGAGTGAGAGTTTGAAATTGGAAATGATGTAGCAGCCGTCTGGCCTTTGGTACTAGTAAACTTTACTCTTATTTACGATCCTCCAATCTTCATTTTGGATAACACATATAATATGCATTTTTATTCTATTCTCTATTGGCTAAATGACAAATTCCCTCCTTTTCCCATATACTATATGCCCTGCCCTGTACCATTCTTGTACTCCAAACCTACCCTAAACTTGAGTTTTAATCATCATAACCCTATTCTTCTATTCCAACAACAATGTCCAAATGTAAGAACAAACAACAATAATGGAGTAGTTTTAATAAAAATAAGTGGCCAAGTCAAGATTTTTATCTGATGTATAATAGTAATCTATTAATCGAAATCTTTAGTTTGGTCGTAAAATAAATATATTGATAACAGGATTGATTTTGACAATTAAGTCAATAATGTACATGAAAGATAGACAAATCGATAGAAAAACATAAGAGAATGCCAAAAAACACAAATAAGGAGAGCTTACAAATTGGAGTGATTTGCACTAATATGATTTTTTGGTGGCATTTAGGGGTGTGCAAAAATCGATTTAACTAATAAATCGAACCGAAAAAAACACTATTGGTTTATTGATACTGGGTTATTGGGCTAACGGTTTTTAAACAGTTTTGCAAAATTTTTTATTGGGTTATCGGTTCGGTTTCCGATTTTATGATTTTTGTTAATGGTTAAACCGTTAACCCAATTAGACTATACTAAATTTACTATTTTATCCCTAGACTAGTAAACCCTAATTATATAACATTTTACAAACCCTATTACTTTAATCTCGGTATTACTTAAAACCCTATTACCTCTTTGCCTCTACTAAATTTACTATTTTATCCCTAGACTAGTAAACCCTAATTATATAACATTTTACAAACCCTATTACTTTAATCTCAGTTTATCTTGTTTCATTCTGTAATTGCAAGCACATTTCTAACTTGAATGTGCCAATTGCCTAGACTCTAGTGTCTAAACTTGCAAGAAAAATGATTGTTACTTTTATGATTATTACTTTCATGCCAAATGCTGGAAAAATCATATGGTTTATATGAAAGTTTTCTTATCGTGTATATATCAATATATATGAGTATTTTCTTATTGGTTAAACCGAAAACTGAACCATTAAGTACCATAAATCGACTAAGCAAAAACCGATAAGAAATATGTTATTGGTTTGGTTATCGGTTTGATGTATTTACAAACCGAAAACCGATAAACCGAACCAATAACACATAAAACCGATAAACCGAACCGATCGATGCACACCTTAGTGGCATTATTTAAATTTTGATCCCCTTAATATAAATTGAAAATATGTTCTTAGTGATTGTCGTGATGATTTATGGTGATTTGTCAAGATTTCTAAGCAAATATTTGGTTGTTGCTGGGATTTGATTTCTTATTTGATATTGATTAAGACTTGTCTCAATAATAAGTTATGGTAATT